TTGACTGCCAGGAATCACAAAATAGTCAGCAAAAATAAACATGAACGGTGTTAAAACGTTTTGATGGTTTTCTTTATGCGTCATATTACGAATGCGTACACTTAATTACCAAGTGGGCTTCTGTTTTCGTGGGAACTGCTAAGAACTCTAAAAAGTGATTTGTGGAGACGCAGTCCTCGTCCCCAGGGCTTTTCACTAAAAATATAAGCCCTGGGTACGAGGCTGGAAACGCGGGGAGAAGGGCTTGGCGCGAAGGTTACCGAGTAAAATCCAACAATCCATCGGAATTTTAAAGCCACTGGAATGCAGGATTACAGGGCAATTACTAACCAACCGATTTCTTGACTTGATCCCTCGGTACCTCTGAATAGAATCTCTCCCTAACGTAGTTGACAGGAAGAGATTTTCTGAGTAACTTTTGTTATACTATTAAAACGGAATCCGGCCTTGCAAAAACCAAAGTTTATGATAAAAAACACCTTTATTTTTTTAAAAACAATAAATGGCTGGGGAGAAAATCAAATGCAGGAAAATTTCTTTATGTCTTGTTTAATAAGCGAGACTAAATGATAAAACACTTTTCCCAATTCATTAACTTGTTCGCGCGCCCTTAGCCATGTCTGAAGAAATGTTTTAGTTCTACTTAAGTAACAAGACTTTTCAAATTAAATTGATTGGTCTTTTTTTGTCAAACAAAACCACAGCTTCGCCCTTATCAGGTCGACTCAGGGCTGGTAATAGAATGCATGGTAGAAGGACATCGAAGAAATTAGTTGAAAGAAAAAAATAAGAAAAAAAAACAAACGATTGACATAACCACTCGGCCACCACCGTCTATCAAAGCGTTTTTTTTGGCGAAGCAACAAAGCATTTGACGTTTGTCTTCAAAACTATTCACTGGAAGATAAAACATCACTATGATGACAAGTAGCTGCGAATCAGGCGATGTTTGATTTAACGAGAGTCAGTGAGAAGCCAATTGAAGCGCCACAGACCGTGTTATTTTTGTTGAGTCGTTTCAGTACTTATAAACAACTGAGTTTGGGGCAGCTCGAATCTTGCCCTCCGTGCATCTCAGATTTTATTTAAAACTGGGAAAAATTTTCTTCTATGGGTCAAAAGTTTGGTGTTCTCAGTACAAATCCAAGAACAAAAGATTGGAAACAATTAAGAACAAGGCACATGCACCATGCAATATTAAACATTAAAGATTCTGGCGAACCATTGACACGTGTAGAAAAGGACTAACAACATGGATCAACAATAAAGCCTTTATCCTGCGCTTGCCTTCACGGCAGCGGATCACCGCCAAACGGAACTTATATTGCATATTCTGGCGGATTGAAGATCTTTTAGAACTAAGGAAGGATACCGCACAAAATGGCTTCTTCCACAAGCCACGAAATTTTTGTTGAGAGCCCAAGAAGTAACGAGACACGCTCACGAGAAAGTCCGGGGCTTCAGAGACACAGAATCATCGACGTTGTTCTAAACCTTTGCTACAAGCTTGACATGGTTTTATGTTGTAGTTTGCACGTCTGTGCTCGCTTTATCCAGCCGTGTGGCCGTCTGCGTCAGTCTATCTTCACTCGGATGTCTTACATCGGTTTGTTGTTTGGGGCGTGCTTACTTTGTGGTTCTCTGCTAACCCCACGGACACGATATAACTTGGGTGACAATTTTTGCCAAAATGTTTCGTACTATTTCTGTGACATTTTATTTAGTTACGCTGCGGTTTATCGCGTTCTTTTTCTGCTAGCAATTTACTACTTTTTGCAAAGCCTACTTTTATTTGGCGTTTGTTCAAGTGGGGAGCGACGGGCCAAAATAAACAATGGCTTCTGGGGAGTAAAAATTCTCGTTTTATCGTTGCTAACATTTCTATTTTTGATTATCCCGCATTCTGAATACGCCGGAGAAGTTTGGACATTTTTTGGCCTTAACGGAGGATTTGCATTCATCATCTTACAATTCGTCCTGCTAATAGACTTCGTTCATGCGTGGAACATAAGCTGTGTTGAAAGGTTGGAGGCCTCTACAAACTATGCCCAAGCTAAACTATGGTATATTATCCTTTGGATTCCCACATTAACGCTGTACACAATTTCAATTATTTCAGTGATATCCTTTTATATACTGTACGCCTGGGCGCCTGGATGTCATAACAATATGTTTTTCATAACGTTTAACGTGTATCTCTGTCTTGCTGCAACTTATATTTCAGTGAACCCAGTCGTCCAAGAAGCGCGCCCGCGATCGGGTCTTCTACAAGCATCGGTCGCTACCACCTACAATACATTCATTACGTGGCTCGCACTTTCCAATGAACCTGACGATATCTGTAACCCGTCACGTGACTATCTCTTCCCTGGAACTCCTTTCAGCAACATTCAAATTCTATTGAGCTTGGGATTCATGTTTTTTGTCTTAATCTACGCATGCCTGCGTGATGTGCGCGCTCCGCAGTACGGCAAGCTGCATCCGGGACCTTCATCTACCCCGCCATTGAGAGAAGATAGCGAGGTCCCGGATGCGAATGGCACATTCGTACGCACCAGTGCTTTAGTTGANTTCAGTGAACCCAGTCGTCCAAGAAGCGCGCCCGCGATCGGGTCTTCTACAAGCATCGGTCGCTACCACCTACAATACATTCATTACGTGGCTCGCACTTTCCAATGAACCTGACGATATCTGTAACCCGTCACGTGACTATCTCTTCCCTGGAACTCCTTTCAGCAACATTCAAATTCTATTGAGCTTGGGATTCATGTTTTTTGTCTTAATCTACGCATGCCTGCGTGATGTGCGCGCTCCGCAGTACGGCAAGCTGCATCCGGGACCTTCATCTACCCCGCCATTGAGAGAAGATAGCGAGGTCCCGGATGCGAATGGCACATTCGTACGCACCAGTGCTTTAGTTGATGGAGGCTGTGTATATGACGATGAACAAGAAGGCGTGGCTTACAGCTATTCCTTTTTTCAAGTACTCTTTTGTCTCGCCTCGCTCTTTGCTATGATGACTTTAACAAGCTGGTACCGACCCGAAGAAGGACAACGCGCTAGTGTTAAACTGGTTTGTGGTTGGGGAGCGGTTTGGATCCGACTTTCTGCTGCTATTTTTAGCACATTTATCTATATTTGGACGCTAATAGCGCCTGTGATATTTCCGGACTCGTACAGAGATTTGGTGTTCTTTCAGTTTATGCTGGGGACATACAATCATCAGACAACTCGGATGAAAGCATCACCAGCCAAATAACGATTTAAAACATAACAACTACAATACTCGTCTCATTTGTTGAAACATTTGTCTCGTTACGCCTTACCCAATGTTGATTCACCTAGCACCCATTTGCAAATATACCCGAATCTCAGCATTGGGGAAGGAGAGAAGAAAATGTAAATAATTTGGTTGAGAAGGCGTAACATGAAAAAAATAATTTGTTTAGGTCTAGGGTCTCAACGAAATTTGACGAGCATCGTAGTTTTAAAGCCATGTGCCCAACGCACTTTTGGCAGGCTACACCGTGCAACATGGCAGTTAATATTGAAGGAGTGCTTGGAAGCGGAGAACGACGTCGCACTTCTTCAATATTTCGCCAAAGACGCCTCGGTGCCCTCTGTCGATAATTGTGAAACCCCTTTTTTTTTTCTTTTTTATAAGAACCTTTTTTATATACATTGTAAAAGCACTGAGGTTGAAAACGAGAAAAACCTAAAACCAAACAGAACTCATGTAAAAATTTTCCCAAGAACATTTCATACCACATGTTTCACATGAGCGATGTAAAGAAATGATAACACGGAACGTTTCGTTCTGCAGTGTTCTAAAAAATCACTATTAAGTCCAGCTGAACTAAATGCATGGTCAACTAAAATAATGACAACATATCGTGACAAGAACAATGCAGATTTCTATACATGTACTTCCACATGTTGTAAGAACATATAAAGAACGTTTTGAGGCTTAAATCGTCCAAAAAATTCCAGAAAATTCAGTCCTAGCTAAGCCTCGGCTATAAATAAAATGTTTTATAAAGAAGAGTGTAATTAAGTTTTCTTTTTTTAGCCTTCACCCCATCTAGGTACGTCGTTCAAAGTACTCACAGTTTTGCAAACGCCAGTGAACATGTTTCAACAGATTCGTGAATAACAAAATAATTTTTGACACTGATTTCATAAGGTCAATCACCAAAATTAGCCTTAGAAACCAAGACGGGAACTGCTTCCTCTTCGTACTTCTAATATCCTTTTCGCTGGTTCCACGCTGATAGATCTCAAAAGAATAACGCCAATGCAATTTCTTAGCCCTAGAGTTTAAGCTCGTCAGGATTAGGTAATCTTTTCTGTGAGACTCAACGCAAGGCGGTCTAAGAGTCACACATTAGTCTCATGTGCTAAGAGTCATTCCAGAAGCCTTCTTTGCGACTTGAGAAGTGAACAGCAACTTGTTTGACTTGCTTCTCTGTATGGTTTAAGGGTGTTAGTCCAAGGAACAAACGAGCCACCCCGCCCACTTCATAAAAGATCTTTGACAGTACTGTACCACTTTTCCTGGGATTGTATAACTGGAAACTAACTTCATGAGTGGAATTTTCATTCAACCGGGAATGAAAATTGGATGAAATTTAGTAACAACAAACAGTATGTCATTCTGGTACAAAGAAATTGTGAATACTTCAATAGTGAAAAACTACTATCTACAACAATGTTTGGATGATTTCCTCTATCTTTTTTCGCCTCATGAGTTGTCCCGGCTTTCATGTACAGTAGTACATATTTCAGTGTATATACAGTATCCAATTTTGATCATAATTTCACTTTGTTCATTTCTTTCCCTCTTTTATCTGCCATGAAAATCGTCACCTCTTCTTTTCTTTCCGGTATCATCCCTGTACAAGAAAAGAAAGTAACAGTCATAATTTTGATATGATATCTAAACACACATTCTTCCCTAGAATATTCCCTTTTCTAAACGATCTCAGAAAATGTCAAAATTAACATGAAGGTCTTTACCTACCATATACAATAATAATACCGTAAAATTCCGAAAATAAGCCCCGGTGCTTACATTTTTCAAAGGCCCTTTTTGAGCGGTTTATTTTTGTAGGGGCGTATATTTGGGGGGGCTTACACATGGAGGGGCTTATTTTCGGAATTTCACGGTATCTTTAAAAACGTATATATGTCCGTAGCCTGCCTAGCGGGCGTCGAAAGGGGTAGGGGATTGGTAGGAAGGAGAAGGGGGGGGGGGGGGGGGGGGGGTCCTTTTGGGCCTTTTTTCCCTTTCCCCCCCCCTTCCCCCCCCCCCTTTTTGGCCCTGACCCAGTTTTTGCCCCTTTTGGTTGGGGGCCGGGTTTTTGGAAACCTCGGGCGGTGTTTGACGGTATGAAAGTTTTTTGTGTTTTATTTTTAA